GTGTATGTGTGCATGTATGTATGTAGGCCTATGTATGTATATAATATTAGATATTAAAGAGGCCTATTACAATATGCAACCGAAATTCTACTCACGTTAATATAATGATAGTACTATCACGCTGTTATACTTTAAACCAGGTGTTCTCAACGCAATAGGGGCCAAATTCTTCATTGAATAAATTTGAAGGGCCAGGGCAAGATGTGTATTTTGGCGCGTAGCGGCATCCGATAGCCGTAGGCGTGAGCTCGGGGAGAGTTTGAAGGGGTAGGGGGTGTCTCCCTCTCCCAAATTAGGAGTTTAAAAAAATTAATTAGTCGCTAGATGCTCATACCGGACATCTTGACCTAAGAAAGTTACCCTTGTGTTTGGCAATGCAAAAGTCAAAATGTTATAAATCACACAATTAGTCACCAGTAGGCCCAATACAAACACTTTTAATGATATATGAACGTAGTAGGCCCTGTTATCTTACATTGTTACAATCATGATCTTGCCTGCTTGGTAACTGAAATTAGACTTTGATGCTTGTGTCAGTTTTTTGAAGTCCAGTTTAACTGAAAATATTATTTTCGGCTGCTCTCTCGCGGGAAACACGCACTCGTGGGAAACACGCACTCGCGGGCCGGAGATGGTCCGCGGGCGGCCAGATGAGAATCCCTGGTTTAAACTATTTTAACAGGAACTGTCACAAAGCTTCATCACACAGTAACTAACTTCCACGTGCCACTGGTATAAAAAATATTCTATTTGGATTTCCTAGTCTTGTAATGACCATATATTATTCAGTATGAGTCACATGGTCTATAATGTCGTGATGCTTCGGAAATCTAACAACAGTGTACGCTCTCCTGCTGACGAATAGGCCTATGCAGCTGGGGCGGATGTAGTGGGAATGGGGGTACATACGGTGCAATCGCCCCTCCCCTAAATTGTATTAAGGAAAATAATTCTTGTATTGTATTGTTGATTAGAACATAGGCCTATAGGCCTAGTACCGGTAAGATTTTTAAGGTATGGGAGTGCAATTTCCCGCCATCTAGAGGTCCGTATTCTCAAAATTGTCTCACTTTAGCCCAATAAAGGTGGGGCTGAGGTGGTGTCGACTCTTACGCACCCCCTACTGCCAAATCCTGCATCCGCCACACTATAGTACAATATGTATCAAGCAACACTCAGAATTTCATAAGAGAATTTATTGAGACTTCATTAAACACCCAAATTAAGATTGATTCTATCACTAATTTTTTTTTTTTTCATCTTTTATACTTTCAAATTACTTTCATTTTGCCGATGTAACGGAAGTTGGACGGATGTCATTCTCTACTAATTTAGCGTAACCTTCAGAATACCAAAAATCATCCTCTTAGTACAGAAACAATTATGTCACAGAATTAATTTTGTATACCTATTATATATGTATTTATATATAGGCCTATAATAAATATGGACCGCAGAATTATTTCCGGGTAACTTTATCTGTACGGAATTCTGTATTAACAGAACTAAATCAAGCACCACAGATTTTTTCATGTAAAACTATTTTGTTTACAGAATTATTTCTCTGTAAATTTTATCATTGATTGCATTTGAGCTGATTGAGGTCTTATTAAAGTCCTGGTATATTACATAGGAAGGTGCATGCCGAGGGCCTTAACGGATTACTTAATATGATTACTTAAGATTGCACATAATGTACAGTATGTATAGTGTCAAACGTTCAGAAATAGGTCTATGTTACTGGAAGAAGTGATAGTTATTGTTGAATTACCTGTTTACCATAATTTTAGCAAAGAAATTATTGCCGCTATATGATCAACTATTCCCCATTGCTTTACTTGTTGACCAACAGCAGATGATTCGTAGTTACTTCGCATTACACTACCGATTTCCTGTTCTAATGTTTTCTTTACGTAATTGATATCTTGCTTGAGCATTTCGACAGTCATTTTCAATTCAGTACGCTTTTCGCGTCCCTCGTCCAATTTTTTTGCTATATTTTCCATGATTTCACTGATCTTTTTAATATTGTGGTTATAGTCGGCACCTTTTGTAATATCACTCTCACGAAGAATGTTTAGATACAGCGTGTTCTCTTTCAGTTTGTTTTCCAATTCATTCAGCTTATCATCTTGACTTTTTAGACTCTGCTTTAATTGTTTCATATTTTCATCTCTCCATGCCCCTATCGTTTGGTAGGCAACAAAAATTGAACTTAGGCCAACGACAAGGATAAGAATTAAGGTAGTTTCCATAGTGCTGTTTGCAACGTCTGTTTTTTGTAGTGAATCTGATGAAATCTGAATGAAATACAGTACACAAATGCATTATATTAGTTATTATAAAAAGATAAAAGGAAGAGTCGAATTTCAAATTTATGAATCCCAAAAATAAGAAAAAATACATAATCGTGCATGATCAAAGATCTGTTTGAAAGTTTACTCGTTGCGAAGACCTCTTTGTCAGCGAGGCATTAATTACATCATTTATCAAGAAAAACAAAGAATAGGAAAAGAAGGGCCTTTAATAACAAATATTTTTAAAATATTGAAGACAAAGAGACAAGCAATACACATTTGTTGTTTGTCTAGAGTCTGAATAACAACTTTAATTACTGTGTTTAACCTGAGCAGCTTTAATAGGCAATGCAACCTAGTTAAAGGGAATATTGTTAATGGGGAAGGATAAACATTTTTTTAAAATTAATTATTCCATACTTGTGGGGACGGCGTAATTTACAGCAATATTTATTGATTCTAGCCAGAATTCTTTTGTTAAGCAAACATCTACTCTTTTCGTAATAACTTAATCGTATCCGTGTGGATCCTGTAGACCTATGGTGTTTACTAGCATCCCTCCCACCAACGATGGATGATTAACGGATAAAAGTCGGTAGGCCTACTGTTCAGTGCATAGCTCTTGGAGCGGCAACTGCTGTAACTCGTATTATAGCCTATGTTTACGACTTGGACTAAGGCCCCATTCAACCGTGCCTAAATAGGGCCTACGTTAATTGAAGTAATAGTGATTTTTTTTTTATTGCGTATGTTATTTGTTAGAAACCGAAATTCAACTTGCGTTAAGATATAAATTGTACTATACAGGCTGCTGAACCGTATATTTCGACAGTTACATCTGTGACAATCTCAGAGTCCATCATCGTGGATATTGGCCGATTTTACACAAATTTGAGGTGCTGATTTGTATAGCTTTAGGGCTAATATTATTTCCTGCTTTAATGCAGATAGAATAATTAAATAAACGCTTGCACTGGGGTTAACCGCTGTATGTATGCTAGTAATGTGTATTATGCGCTTTACAACCCATCTAAGGCCTATTATTATGTTTTATTATTATGTTATTGTGTTGATTGTGTTCATTCACCTTCATCTCACAGATCAATACACAATCGATTAACACCGTATTACTGTTATAAATGAATATTTGGAATTTCCATGATTAACAAAATTACAAAAAAAAAAAAGAAAAAAAAAAACACTTTTCATCAATAACCCCTATTAAAGCAGACACTTTTGGGACTAAAATAGTGTCCCCTTAATAGGGTATCTCCTAAATAGGGGTACCCCTAATCAGGCCACACTAATTTGGCATGTTTTCATACAACGATGACATAGATTCTTTATAATTTTATTTTTATTCACATGAGAATTAATTACAGTAGAATTAGAAATAATTTCTAGTAATAATTTGCGGTGTAAATTCAATTTATAATATGAAATCAGCAGAAATGCAACAATAGTTGAATATGTTCCCAATACTATTTCTCCTTTAGAGAGGTTATTTGACCATTTGACTTAGAAAGTATCAAGTCAGGAGCGGATCCAGTAGGGGAACGTGCGCCCCCCCCCCCCGTTTTGTCAAGGAGAGTATTATACAAATAGACGATAAAAGATACAGTACAAGCGTAAGTCTAATCCTCAGACACTTTCTCTCATAGTTAACTCTCTTTCAAGCTTACAAATAAGGGAGCTAATGTTAGGCTTGAACATCTTAAATCTCACCAGCTAGGAAATCATAATTTATTTAATAGATACCTCTACTTCAATGCGTGTCAAAAATCTGGGCAACATCTGGACGAGGATGCTGACACGCCGACAGCCAGCTGTGCCAGTGCAATAATAACACTAATTTTTAATTATTAGTTGCATACTGTAAACCCAAAATTATCCTCGAAAAAAAGCCCATCTGGAAAGGAAGTTATTTATTTATATATAATATATAGGTCTATATATAATTATGCAACCAAAATTCTACTCACGTTAAGATATATTGATTGTACACACTCATTAAAACTCATCTCACATTAAAGCTTCTACGATTTCGATATGTACACGTGTTACTGTTATAAAAATATGTTTTGGATTTCCCCGTACTCAAAAAAGTAAATTACTATGATGGTAACCAAAAACACACACACAAAACTTTTCTTCAATAGGGGGCGCCCAATGTCACTGATTTTGAGATG